TATTTTATTTTATTTTATTTTAAAGCAGGGTTATCTTTTCTTTTTATTGACAGAAGCTCCGTGGAAGTGGTGATCTCAATGCGTCGACAACGTCCCAACAGTTTGAAGAACAGTCTGTGAGTGACATTCCTTTAGAACCAATAAACATGACGCGTCCCCGTTATCAATGTTTCTTACTACATGTTTGGGTCTGCATTGCTTGGCCTCATTTCTTTTTAAAGAATGCTCCACGGTATTCACTTACAAAGATGGGCCTTACAGACGATAGCTGGGAGAGATTAATTCAGTGTTTATTGATTTGCGAACCTGGGATAGATTCTTCTAAAAATACAGAGAAGCTATGAAATCGGGTGCTACAGAACAGGAGACAAAAGCCATTTTCAAAGTGCTTTGAAGCACGGGTGGGGATACTTTCCAAAGAAGACCGACCGGCAAGGGTGCCTTAGCCACAGGATCGATGAAGTTGAAGGTCAAATAGGTGAACAATAAGTCATTGCATCTGCCCTTTCTCTTTGGAATGGCAGACATTTGAACTAGTGCACAACTCAAGCTCCAAACTTCAATGGCATCCACTGAATAAATATTCAAACTAGACTGGACTTGGACATGGTGGCCTGTGAGGGTCGATGCATTCATTCCCAGAGAGGGGAGTGAGCAGTGTTGTGGGGAGGTGAGACTGTGAGGGTGAGTGGAAGAGACGCCATAGTGGGGGTCAGGGAATGAAAGAAAAGCATGTAAAAGACGGGAGGACACTGGACAGAGACAGCGTGTCCCATGTGGACACAGACGAGGGACACATGTGGAGTGGACGAGCGGGCTCAGTGGGTTGTCAGCCGAGTGGTTATGTACTGAAATGATTTTCTTTTTATTAATATATTTTTATTGATTTCAGAGAGGAAGGGAGAGAGGGAGAGAGAGAGAGAAACATCAATGATGAGAGAGAATCATTGGTCGGCTGCCTCCTGCACGCTCCACCCTGGAAATTGAGCCCCCAACCTGGGCATGTGCGCTTGAATGGAATTGAACCCAGGACCCTTCAGTCCGCAGGCCGACGCGCTACCCACTGAGCCACACCAGCTAGGGCATAGCCTCACTTCTGTGTGCTCTTTCCTCTCTTGGGCTTCCCTGTGAGTGACTGAATAAAGCACCCGACCCTCAGTGAATGACGGGAGGGGTGATCCAGATGTCACTGATCTCATTCTTCTCAGACAGTTAACATTGTGAGGATGTTACCATGACTGCCTCTGACTTCTGACGGAATCCCACTGGGGAGAAATATAGAGAACATGTTAACCAGGCAAGTGTTACCAAGTCTTCAAAGTGAGTGGGAGCTCACTCTTTTTTTTTTAAAGAAGTGATTTTATTATTTTTTAAATTATTATTTTTATTGATTTCAGAGAGGAAGGGAGATGGAGAGAGAGAAACATCAACAATCAGAGAGCGTCATCGATCAGCTGCCTCCTGCACACCCCACACTGGGGATTGAGCCCGAAACCCGGGCATGTGCCCTGACCGGGAATCGAACCGTGACCTCCTGGTCCATAGGTCGACGCTCAACCACTGAGCCACGCTGGGGGCCCAGTGGGAGCTCAATCTTGAACACTGGCCATTGGAGTGACCATTTCCCCCTATTACAATTAGGAGTGTTTCAGAAATTCTCTCCCCAGACCACTGACCTTACTTCTCTTCCTCTGCAGACCCTCGGGGAAGCCAGCGATGGCGTGAGCAACCTGCCCAGCCCCTTCGCCTACCTCCTCACCATCCACCTAAAGGAGGGCCGGAACCTGGTCATCCGGGACCGCTGCGGTAAGGCCCGGCCCCGCGTCACTCTTTGTAGCCTTTTTCTCTCCACCCTTGTGTCAATGTGGTTAGCCAACCTTTTTCTTTAAACTTTTAAAAATTGATTTCAGAGAGGAGGGGAGAGGAAGAGACAGAAACATTAATGACAAGAGAGAATCATGGATTGGCTGCCTCCTGCACGCCCCCTAGTGGGGATCAAGCCCACCACCCCAGACATGTGCCCTGACTGGGAATCGAACCATGACCTCCTAGTGCATAGGTCGATGCTCACCCACTGAGCCACGCCTGCGGCCGGCCAGGCGGCCAGCCCTTTCTATCTCAGCATGGTTTGCAACACGCAGGACCTCAAATCTAAGCCTCCTCAGGAACCAAGGCATTTGCAGCAAATTATGTAAACATATTGAACCTTATTATCCTTTGTTAGTAGCAAATTAGGAATAATCTATATATATAAAAAGCCCATGGCCCCAACGTCGTAATGACCAAAGACCGACATGGGTGGGCGGGGCTGTGAGCGGGTGAGGCGAGTGTGGCTGGGTGGGGCCTGTGATTTTGCGCGCTGGGCTTCTAGTGATAATGGTAATCATCACCATATACTTACAGTTGTTTGAATTGATCTAAGCTCCCTGTTACGGCTTGATGCCCAGCCTATAGCAGCCACACAAGAAAGTGTTCCCTTGGTCACACTTCAATTATCCGTGAGAAAGATGGGAGTAATTCTTATTATAAAGTTATCCAACATGCACATAGATGGCAATGCCCTCTGTCCCCACCCCCCCCCCACCACCCACCCAAACCCTCC